TAGTCTTAGCTCATTCTGGATTTTAGTTTTTCTGATTCCTTCCTTGCAGATTCAGGCTATTTTATTTTAGGTCAGTGTTTCTCAACCTTGACAATTTTAAGGCACGTGGACTTCAACTCCCAGAATCTCACAGCCAGCTGTGGAATTCTGGGAGTTGAAGTCCACATGCCTTAAAATTGTCAAGGTTGAGAAACACTGTTTTAGGTTATTCAGGCTAAAATAAAATATTCTGTTTTAGTTATGTGTCTATCTTTTCATTTTTTTATATTTAATCTTTTTGTCCCTTCATTTGTCAGAAAGCTCTTTGTGCCACCAGGCTGGCCTTGTGTGATGTCTTTTGTTTTTCTTTCTCTGTGGAATCATTTTTTTGCCTGGGCTTTCATTATCTCATTTTTCATAATTTCCCAAGCATGTTAAACTGTTTTTCCTTTTAGGATTCCCATCCATGGAATCCTTCCTAGTCTCCCTCTTAGCTTGTTGAAATCAGCTCTCTTAAAATCTAAAACACTAGCTTGACTTGTGGATGCATTATGGTGAATTCAAGTATGACATGGTTGCTCTCCCCCAAAGTTCCTATATCTTCTACTTCCTCAACCATTTCATCTCTATTAGTAAGAATTAAGTCGAGTATAGCTCTCCCTCTAGTTCCCTCTTCTACCTTTTGTAGAAGTTATATCGTTTGACTTCCTGTCCTTTGCTCCATTAATCTGCTTCTTTTATTTTTCAAAATGCTAATGACATCAAAGTAGCATCCAATAGTTGGAATTGACTGCATTCAAGCTCCTATGTTCTCTGGTCAGGGATAAGGGATGAGCCCTCTGGAAAAGGCTCTTACTGGTGCATTCTCATCCGTTTTTATCTCATTTCAAAGCATTATTAGAATTAATTAGATTAATGGGGTTATTATTTTGAATAGCAAAGGTCCTCTAGTTCAGAAATGCATCTGAAGAATGAGTTACAGCTCAAGAAAGCTTAAGTCTTTTTAATAAAATGTATTAGTTGAAAAAAAAATGTTGCCAGATTATTGATTCTTGCAATTCAGAGAGGTTATCTAAATCAGGCAGCAACCAGTTTTCATGATAATCCTAACTTGTGTACATCTCCTCACCTACCGAGATACTGTGGAATTTACTTGCAGGAAAAATGGGTAGGACTGCAAGCTAAAAATGGTTCTGCCTTCATTCTTAACAGTGAAGGGTGCTCATTTCTTTCCCCAGCTGAATATCTTGGCACCCAGAGCTCCCATCCAAACCAAATTGTCTCCACATATTTCTACCACAAGTTTAATAAACCAAAGAAGCTAGATTACACCCTTATTCTGCTTGTAGATCTACCAGTACAGTATAAATTTTCTTTCCAGTCTGAACAGCTCATGCAAGGATATCCAATGAGGAACTTCTATAAGAACATCCTAAGAGCAGGCATTGCTACTGACTTCATTTACAAACTATTAATATCCATAGCATTCATACAGAGTGTCTCATATTTAATTTGGCTGACTCATTTGGGAAAGCAAATACCATTACATTCACTTATGGGCCTATTTCTAAATTAATGTGCCCTATTCCAAATTTAAATATTAAAGATGTGGACTGTGTGGGATCATCTCTGGTGCAAATTTCACTTTTAATTCTTTAAAAGGGAAAGTTACTGTTTAACCCACTTTGTCTCTCTTGGTGTACATCCCAAGGTTACATTATTTTCATGAATTCTTCATGGGCAAAGGAAGAAGACATGGACCTGACAGACCGTCAGTCTGCTGTAGGGGAGCAGACTCTGGCTCCTTGCCAGCAGAAACTGATCTTTTGCTAATGAGCAGAATCCAGCACAGGTGGCTAATCACCCTGATAGTGATGAGAAATCAGGAGACCTTGGCCATGTGCCAAGTCTGGAAAACAAATACAGCAAATGAGAAAAGCCAAACAAAGGTGGTTTTTGTGGCTTCAAAAGAGAAATGCTAGTCGATGTTACAGACAGCAATGGAACATTTAATCATTGTCCCTTTCAGATTTCTCTGATTACTATAGTTCTGAACCTGAACCAGATTACTGTTGAAAGAAAAATCTTCATCAGGGTCCAGTCCAAGCTGGGAATAAACAAAATGGAGACTGCTTTAGAAAAAAGGTTGCAGTTTATTGAAGAGGAGAGCCAGACAGAAAGATGGCTCTGGGAAAGTTGGCCACACATAGTAGGGAGTGGTGGGTTTTTATACCTTCTTGAGCTTTTGTTTGGAGTTGTCCCTGTGGCATGAACTTTGACCTGAGTCTGAGTGTGCCTTTCTGGTACTCTTATTATGGTGTTGGTTAATCCTATTATGTCCCAAAGGTCATATCCTGCTTCCCTGGGGCTGTGGCTGATGACTGTTGGATTTTTTTGGTGTGAGGGATTGTTGATTCTAGGGATCTTTGTCTTTCTAATCCAAGATTCCTGGCTCCAATCTTTCTGACAAGATTATCACTTGGTTTCTATTTGGGGCAGAGAGACTTGGGAGCAGGGTGTTGGTTTCTGCCTTTCAGATCCTTTGGGGAAATATATTCTGCCTTTTTAATATTTCCCAAAATATTTCTTTCTCTGGATTCTTCCCACATTACTTTGTCCTCATGATGACATTCACTAGCTCTTGTGATTAATATGGCTCATTACGATTCCTGTGGTTGTCTGGAGTCAGAGCTAACATTTCTTTGCATTTTGTTTCTAGCCATGGTGCTGGAATATTTCCTTGCCCATAAACTTCAAATCCTAGCTATGAGTGTTAGTTCTGGATTCTGGACCTGTAAAAATTGAATTGTTCTTGTTTATCCTTCTCATTTGATCCTATTCCTGGGATTTGAGGGGAACGCAGTCTTTTTAATTAAGTCTTATGTAAATTTCTGCCTGTTTGCAGACTAGGAAATTTAATCAGGAGACTCACTGATGTAGAATATGGGCCCTTGGAGTGGCCCCAGGGCCCCTGAAAATTCTGTTGTTTACCAGCAGCATATATAGTGCAACTTCTCCACTTGTCTCTCCCTCCTCCTAGGACAGGTAAAAGAGGAGGTCTGTTTTTCTGACATGCTTCTTAACTGAGAATCAGTCAAGATGTGAACAACAATTGTATCTGTGTGTGGATTTATACTTGTTAAAATGTAGCTGAAAAAATAAACGACAAAAATATGAATATTTAATTGAATTAATTTATTTTCATTTCAAATCCTCCCCTTTCCATGATAATGATTTTAAGGGTGCCCTGATTATTTATGAGCTATGTGGCCTCGGATGTACTATTCAAAGGCTTGCATGGCCTTGAGCCAACTAAAGTTGTACACTCTTGTTCTACGTACTTTTGATCTTTATGCAGAAGGATTTTATCCCACAGGCAAGAGTGGCATCGCCATACATAGGATTTGACAATGTTAATATCTAAGGGCAAAAAGCCATTCACTGGTTTTCAGAGCAACTAAATTTGACAAAGATAAACATTATTGGGAGGGACTAAACTTACCAAATACTTTAGAGGGCACTGTTGTGCCATATCAAAACCTAGGGGTCATCATAGTAGTGTTTATGTTCTTTCAGCCTCTGCAAAAAGTTGTAAACCTGTGTTGTTGTAGCAATGGTGGAGGATAAATGTATATATCTGAATATTATATACACTTATTGTCATAACAAATAGCAACTCCTAGTCAATGGCTGGTTTTGAGAAATTCAGACCTCATTAGGACTTGGCCGGGTAATAATTAGGAATTATTAGAGTTGCAAATTAAGCTGAGTAGTGAAAAAAACATCCCCCAAAAAACAAAAAGGCAAAGCAGTTCTGCGCTGTTGCCAAGAAAGTAAAATAGATGGTCTCATGTGGTGCCTAAGACATGAGATTCACTTGAGGGCATATTTATCTTTTCATAATACCATTATTACTCTTAAAAGCAAAATTAGATGGTAAATATTGCAGCAGTTGATTTAGAATGAAACTGACGTTGAAAAGTAACATACTGTAACTAGAGAAATTAGAGAGGCAGAAAAACATACCAAAGCCATTTACAAAAATTCTAAGGGGAGGCCCAAAAATAACAGAAGAAGAACTGCACGTGGTCAGTAGTCAAAGCCAAAGTCACTGGAGTCAGTTATGGGGCAGGATGTGAGAAATGGAATGTCCACTTCAAGCATCTTCATAGTTTAGCATCAAATAAAATAAAAGGAAAATATGAATGTGTCTTGGAAATTAGGACCCTGTGTTAGATGAGTATCTAAGGCAACAAATAATATTGCAGCAATGATTCTCTACCCCTTTGAGGAACAGATTTTGCTCAGAATCTCACCTTCAAGCCCTTACATCTTTAGTTAATAAGACACATAACAACGTCACATGTCTCTGTCTGAAATTTTGCAGATTTATCTATCAGGGTAAGATGGGCTTGGGCCAAATAGTCAATGCAGGTTCCTATGCTTATTAAGGATGTTGATTGCAAAGATATAGCTTACGTTACAATATGGAGCTACGTAATAACTATTCCCAAATATTATAAAATAAGAGATTTATGATGAACTATAAAAACCTATTCCTGCCAATTGATCATGGAAAAATCCTAAAATTGAAATACATTAATTAAATCAATTTTATGTGCTGCTACAATCACAAGACTCTCAGCACCAAAAGATATAAAAGTATTACCTATCAGAATGGATAACAGAGTTCATTCATTTTAGGTAAAAGAGATATCTCTATATAGGTCAACATTATTTTGCAAAGAACTGCCAAAACCTTTAGGCCAGGGGAGAAGAATCTTTTGCAAATCAAAACAAAAACCTTGAACCTGAAAAAGAGCTTGTTCTTTTCATTAAAAAAATCCGTGCTTTGCTAGAAAAAATAGGTAGCCGTAGCAGTGTTTACTTCTTATGAATTTCTTGAATTTACTTTGACAAGATTGTCAGCACAGCCTTGCTACCTGGCAAAACTGTCCGTCTATTTACTGGTGTCCTCCCCCTGGTAATGCTTTGTGCACCTTCTGTCTTATTTTTTTCAGGACAATAAAGAAGTGAAATGATTTATGGGCCCATGATCCTAGAGATTTCTCTGGATAGAAGATGGAGATTAATGGCTTCATGAGATTAAGTATGTTTTTAGTAATCAGTGACTGCACATGCGGGCAAACTGTAACTTAATAGGAGTAAAATATTTTATCTTTAGGAAACTTTATTACAAATTAAAACATTTCCTGTTTTCAAAAGTCATGTCATGCCGATCTGGCATGTATTATGGAGCCCTGGCTGCCAATGGAGGAGGGAGCTTATCTGTCTCAGCAATCCTTCCTGATGATCGCAACAATACATCTTATTTGCTAATGTGATTGGGTTTTTTTTTTATTTATTTGCAGTGTTATTAACATGTTTCATACTTTCCACTCTAAAGCTGTAAGTCCACTTTCAGATCATCATCATAATCCATCTACTTGGGTGTTCTTGAACATCAAAGCAATGGTTAGGGCTTGGCAGGACAAATCCCCAAAGAAGATAAAGTTGCCAAGAGAACTTTATACACCAACTAAGTCATCAGGGGTTTAACTCAACCTGAGGGAGACTTCACTTAAAAAATACACTAGATCAGGAGTGTCAAACTGCCGGCCCGCAGGCCGGACGCATCATCTGGAAACCACGCCCACCCCATTGCCGGCAATGGCAAAACTGTCCCGATAAGTTGCATGACGTCACATGACGTCACGAGTTTGACATATCTGTACTAGATAGAATTTAATTTGGAGTGGTTGTAGAACAGGGATGAGGAACCTATCACACATGTGTCAAAGCTGACACACCATGGCATTTTGGGTGACATTCCAGTGTTCCCCAACCACTAACAATAACTATTCTCTAAAGCACAACCCGTTCTTGGGTGATTTTCAAATGCTGCAGAGGCTGAAAAAGAATGGGATTTGCCCCAGGTAGGCTGCAGGGACCTGTGAACAGAAAGAAAACATTACCTGAAGATAAGCAACACATGGACATTTTTGTAGGGCAGCAGTGGATCTAGGGCTGAAGTTGAAGCCAGGGTTGAGTGCTGCTGGATGTCTAGATGTGTGTTTGTGTGTGTGTGTGTGTGTGTGTGTAAGATAGAGAATTATTTCTCCTTGGTGGAGAGGGTAGAACACCAGCAGTGTGTGAGGCATTTTCCAAATTTTTGACATGTTGAGCCCAAAGATTCACCATCACTGTTGTGGAATGGGTTTTCAGGAATGAAGTCACACAATGCCATTGTGTTCTTACTTAAAAGTTGAAAAAAACAAGTAAATAAAAGTCCCACGTTTTTTGAAATCACTTCTCATTCAGTTTAATGCAAGGGAATCTAATTTATAATTTTTCAAAACAGAAGGAAGTTTTGGAGAAATACTCTTAGCTGTGATTTTTTTGCATCTACTGGTTGACAAGAACCCAAAGTATAGGTTTGAATGTTTTGTCTTTCAGGATGCAATCCTCCCATGGCCAATAATCTCCTATGCTTCAATTAAGCCTCATGGAAAGTGGGGGTGAGGTGTTAGTAGCAGTGCATCAGTCACTACTGGGGGGGGGGAATCCTGCTCTTGAGAAATTGTTGCAGAATTTCTCCTTCCCCAGGAGAAATTCAGATAAATCACCCACCTACTATACCTCTCTGCCCAGCTGTAAGCACAACCTGTCCTGTATTGATACATAAGAAATACCAGCACGAACACTGGTTAAAATGAGGAACAAATGTAGGAGGCTGGGTTACTGCCTCCGGCTGTGGAAATAAGCAAATCACTCTACTATATGAAGCAGGTTTGTCTGCTAGATATCAGCAAATTACGCTACAAGACAAGGAAACACATCCACTATACCTGCTTCTTGTTCCAATTCTCCTGCTCAGCCTGATTTAAATCCTAATTTAAATCCCCTGATATTGAACCCTGCTGCATCTGGCTCAGTCACAGAAAACTGTGAATTATTAAAAGGATCATAATGTGCTGAGTTCAGCTAAATATAGAATAAACACTTTATAAAGCAAAATAAAAAAACCCCAGTCACATTGCAATTAAAAACATTAAATGTGCAAAAATGAATCAGAATTAGTACTCTTAAAAGCCTGGAATTCTTTGCAGCCATCTACCAGGACTCACCCAGAAAGTTATTGTCTGAATTAAGCTTGCTTTCCTCCCCCCCCCCCACCCTCACCCCACCCTCCAAAAATTTGAGGAGAAGAAATTCAGTGAAGGCTTCAGTGTAAGCCAGGCTAAGGTAGTACAGTGCTGAAGCCTGAGGTGCAGAGAACGGTGGATCTTCGGATCTTGTTAATATTCATCTTGCACTCAAACAAGATAGAAACCCCACTGTGCTAGAAGCTGTATAAATAAGTAAATATAATGTTGCAAAAGATAAATGCTACTCAAGGGGAGGCATAGAGGGTACAATTCAGCGCATAGTTCAGCTATGCATCTCATTTCATTTCAGTGTGGTCTGCATAGAGTTCTTCATAAATTAATAGAGGTGATGTAGCAACAGCACTTGATTTGTTTTTCCAGAGCTACGTGATTATTCCCATTGTACAGTGAAGCCTTGCAATCAGAAGGCAATTTCTCAAAAGTAGCTGCTTTGATGTTTAGAGCGTTTAGATAGTAGCCCTATGTGCTACTATCTAGGAGCCAAGTTTTCTTTTAAATCCTTGGGACTTACTTCTGAGTCAAAATCAGTGGTGAGATTCAGCCAGTTCGTACCACTTGGGCAGAACCGGTAGCTAATTTTTTGTTGCCTAGGCCCAGAATGGAGTTCCGGAAGCGGCATCCACACAGAGAACCGGTTGTTCACATATTTGAACCCTGTCACTGGTCAAAGTACATAAATTTAGACCATAAGCGACTTAGCCAAGGGAATACTAGGTATCTGAGCACTATCTGGAAGAAACCATATTTCCTGTGTCAGGATCAAACCATTTAAATCTTTTCTGTATTACTTACTGTATTTTATCAGTTTACCGGACACAGGACTAATATTATCTGGTTGCCTCTACCAAAGCAAAAACAGAGGAATTGATTCCCACATCGGTCAGCAGAATGCAACTGGACATCCAGAAAGCACCCTGGGCATCCAGTTTGTATCGGTGTCCTGAATCCATGCAAAATTCACCCTTCCTGGCTACACCCCTGTTCTGTGCTGGCACAATCATACTCTGCCTTGGGAACAAATAGTCATGTAATTATTTCTCCAGGGCACTCTCCAAATCTTGACTGGAATTGGTTGGTATAAAGGGAAAATAACTTTTAAAAACAGTTTATGGACCATGAAAGGATGCAATAAGGAAAAAGGAATGGCTTTTATTTTAAGCAATAATTTAAACCAAATGTTGATTGAGCTTTGCACTGTGTACATATAAAATCATTTCAGAGGTGGAAAAAAAAACACCTATCAGCCCCAGATTTAAAATCCAGATTAGATAGCATCTTTCCAAAGCAGAAATACTATTTCTTAGTACAGTCCATGCCTGGAAAATTCCAGTTTCAATTTTGTGATATATAGTTTTGCGCTACCTTCACATTTTAGAGTTTTCTTCATCTTCCCAGTACCATATTGACACATCTAACTACCTGAAACCAAAGAGGGGTAAACATGGGACAAGCTCAAAACATTTGTCATCTCTACCTTTCCAAACTTATTTATTTATCTAATTTCTATAATGCTACCATTAAAAGTTGCATTTCTCAACTTTAGCAAATTGAAGATGTGTGAACTTCAACTGCCAGTATTCTGCAGCCTAAAGAATTCTGAGAATTGGTCCACATATCTTAAAAGTTGCCAAGGTTAAACAACACTGGCTTAGATGTGTGCTAAAATCTGGCAACCTCTTTGTATCCTATACTCCTTTTTAAGAAGTAACACAGGAAATTGTATGGTTTAGCTCTTCAGTGATCCTAAAAAGTAGAATAGCTGGAGTTGTAAATAGCGGAGGAACCATAATGTTTAATAGAGATATTTGAAAGATTGTTAAAATAATAGCTGCCTTGCATCTTACAGCTTTTTCACCCCTCTCCCTTCTAGCAATGCTATAAGGTATGTCCTCTTACCTCTCTTTGAAGGAAACTTTATCTTGAAGGGCTCCCTAGATCAAATTTGATTTAAAGATAAAGAATTATAACAAGAGGGAGCAGAGACCCTGTAATTGACATACTTTTCAAATAACCCATTCCCACTCATTTCATCTTGCTTTTATGTTTTCTAACTTTTCCAGCTCCCTTTAACAAAGTGGACAGAAGTATTCATCCATGTTTGTTTCTTTTCGCAAGCATTTAATCACATACTACACTATTTTTGAAAATGTTCTACCAATTTATTTATTTATTTACAATTTGAGGACACTGTACAACAGATAATTACAAAACAAAACAACAGTAAAAATCATCAACACTTCATCATCTACTTTTCTTGGATTTGGGAAGGAAGAAGCTATCCTTGATACATAATTATGAATGCTTCACTCCATTTTCTTTGTCAAAGATGACTCTCTTGGGGTTTGGTACATTGATTTTCAGATCTGTACTCCTTGGTGCATCATTCAATCTATCACTCTCTGCAAGTCATTCAGGATCTCAGTAAACAACATAATATCATCTGCCTACAAAAGTATTCTGCTAAGGCAAACTTTGCAAATTACTCCCCCTATAATTTCTGCATCTTTAAGTGGAGAATAATGGTGTCCTTCCAATCATCAGGTATGGATGTATTCATCACACATACATTAAATAGGTTGTACAATCACCCTATAAGCAAACCATACTGTATTCATATTTTAGTATCTTTAGTTATTCCATCTATACCTGCAACTTTACCATTTTTCAGCCATCTTAAATCATTGACATTATTTTCTTTGAATACAGACTTCTGTAGTATTTGTTTCAATTTATCTATTTAACACAGCAATAGCATTCCTTTACAAATCTCTAAAGAATTATTCTTGTCATTTCCTCATTTTAGTCTCATATAAATCATTTCATCACTTTACTGTTTAATTCCATTGATTCTGCTTATTTAACACTCTTCACCCATTTCTAAAACAATTGTTTATTTCCATAATTAAATTAATTAAAAGATTAAAAAGATGCATAAAAATTAAGAGTTTTTGCAGATGATTTGAT